TGGTTTCTGAGAAAATTTTTTTCATCACTACCTAATCTAAAACTAAAAAAAAAAAAATACTAAAAATTGAACCATTCCCATAACTTTCGATTGAGAAATTTTAATTTATTGGGTGATAAACCAAATATGAAATTGACATTTTTAGAATTATGACTAATCTATTTATTTAGATCTCCTATTTTCCCGTTTAATTTATATTATTAAAGTATAAAATATAAACGACTTAAATAAAAGAGTAAATTTAACACGTACAATCAAAACAAGTTTTTACCAATGTTTTATTGATTTGAGTGAAAAGAGTTTGATTCTTTTAAATAAGGTTTCGAATTCAAGTTTTGTAGTGGTAGTAGTGAGAGGTCATGAGGTACTAGAGGTAGTCAGAGGTCATGAGGTATTAGAGGTATGCTGGTAGTCAGAGGTCATGAGGTATCAGAGGTATGTTGGTAGTCAGAGATCATGAGATATCAGAGGTATGTGAGTAGTTAGAGGTCAGATACCTCATAGCAGTCCGAGGTACATAACCTCGGACAGCAGGAACTGTTCCCAGCAATTTAGTTACCTTGACTTGATTGAAGAGTGACGAGCTCGGTCGAATTCGAGCTCGTCTCCTTTGCTCCCACTTTACAGTAACTCCGTACGCACACAAATTCCTCATGAGAGATACCTGTGATGGTTGACACACATTATCCTGGTTTTGGGAAGGATCAACGCGTGGACACCCCCTTGAAGGCCTATAAATACCCCTAAGGGTCCACCTCAGAAAGGTACTTGAAACTAACCTCAAACTTAGCTCTTGCTCTTGCTTCATAACTGGTAGTTCCGATTATTGCTAACTTAAGTATCGGAGTGTTTACCCCAAAAACTAATCTCGAGGCCTTGCAGAATAATCGAAGTGAGGATCCAAGTTCTGGAGCATCCCCAGTTCTTTGTAACTACAAGTTTTGTTAATGAAAAAATAAATGTTGGGATAGCTTCTCTAGTGGAGTCCGACGTGACTCGACTTCAAATTAGTCACGATTCAACATAATTTTCAGATATTGGGAAGTTAATAAAAAAAAAAACAAGTTTTCATATTTCTTTAATTAATGAAACAATGGTTTTTGCAA